ATACCCAAGGGGTAATCCGCAGTCGGTTAAACAAGTGTTCTAGGTATGGTTTAGCCGGCACAGCCGGCAGATTCAACTTAGGAACAATTCTGTTTTGTAAACGGTCAAGGACCGCCTATTTATTAAACCGGATGCTAATATGGACGGCTGCCAGCTTAGAGTTGGATTAACTATAAGAAAACAACCGTCCAGTGGCAGACAGAGCCAGGGCATCTGGCATACCGCATGTACTTATTTAAATTACAACAGAGATTTCATTCAAGGCAAAATTGCAAAAAATTGAAGCAAGATATCAAAGCAAAACCGACACAGCCGACATATATATATAATAAATTCAAATTTTCAGTCGGAGCCTCGTCCAGGGAAAAGATACATATAGTACGCGACACGTAGGCCGGATGAAAGCAGGAAGTTTAAAAAATAATAAGCTACTGCTGTTGCTGCTGTTGTTGTTGCTGTTCTGACGGCTGGTCCTGACCGGCAAGAGGGGCCTCTTGAGTTTTCTGGGTTTGGGCTTCTCCAGCCCCACGCGGCGCAGTCTCCTCCGCCTGCTGCTCCTCGATGCCGGCCCATTCTTCGAAGAGCGTCGGCTTCTCAATTCCGAGAACTTGAGCGTCAAATACCTTGGTAGCGTATCTGTACCTCAAGTCGAAGAAAGCATAGTCGGTGTCCGGGTGGACCATGGACCATGCCATCTTCACGCGCGTTTCGCAGTCGCGCTCGTTCTCGGTAACCAGCCGGTCCTGCTTAGCCGACTGCTGGTCTAGGTGCTCCCTCTTGGTCTTGACCAGCTCATCCTTCAGCCGGGTGACCTCAGCCTTCAGCCCGGTGTTCTCCTTGTCAGCCTCCCCCAAGGCCTTGACGTCAGCCTTGAATTGGTTAACTTGGAGTTGCCAGTCAGCAACATTTTTGTTGGCTGTATCAGCAGTAGCCGTGAGCTCCCAGATGAGTTCCTCCTATTTCATCTCCCGGGCTTTAGTTTGGATTTCAAGCATACGGGAGTTATATTGACAGACATCTATTAATTCGGTTACCCGTCTCTGGGCATCCCTTACCTCCTCTTGCTTCTTCCGCAAGGGGGCTTTCATCCCATCAACCGTCAACATCACCTGTAAAGTCAGCTGGAAAAGAAGTTAGCTTCTCAGTTATATCACAACCGGCAATTAGCAACATTGCACAAAAGCACCCCATCCGGTATATTAGAAAAATTGCACAAAAGCACCCCAACCGGTATATTACCTCAGCCACCAGTGAGTTGATGCGGTCAATGTTGACCTGGTTGATACCCGGTACCGCCTCCTTCTCGGACCGAGTGAGGGTCCTCAGCATTATCTTGGCATAATTTTGCTAATTCGGCCAACGAGAAGAGGCATCTGCATCATGAGATATATTCGTTAAGTGCTGGGCATAAGCAGCGCCTATATTCAGCCGGCTGCCTGAAGAATCCCCTGACTGAGATGCTTGGGACTTGACTCGAACAGGCCCAAGCGGGCGGGCGGGGGGGGGGGGGGGTCATAGGTGAGATCCATACCTTGGTTTTTAGGCTATGTGGGGTGGCCCCACCCCCAGCCGTATTAGAGTCGGGTGCAATAGCAAGCACCCGGCTAGAGGGAACCTCAGGCTCCCTAGCTCCGACCTTAGCCGGCCCTGATCCTAAGCCCAGATCACGTAGACTTTTGCCTGCAGACGTAGGCCTCTCAGGAGCCGGTTGTCTTCCAGTAGAGGCAGTGGCAGGGGTAGGCGGAACCCTCCGCCTTTGTGAAGATGGTTGGGCAGGCTGCTCTCCTGGTCTCTTCAGCATGTTCCTTAGAGACCGAGGGACGTTTTGGCTCCCCGACTGCAAAACAAAGCAAAGCAACCGGATAGTACTAAGATGGGTTGCAAGGCATACAAACGGTAAAAAGGTCAACCGGTGCTTACCCCATCGCCTTTGGCCGCCAGTTGGGCCTTCTTTTTCTCAAGCTGCTCCTTCCTGATTTCAGCGGCTGACTTAGCCGGCGTTTTTTTGGGAGGAGTCATCTCGAGTCCTTTCTCTGCAAATATAAAGAAAAATGTTAGAGATCATTCAAACACCATACAGGCGGCATAATACGTCGATTAAACAATAAACCTACATTTGCTCCAAAAGGTGCTAAGACCGCAGGCGGAACTTGGGGACAATTACTTGCGTCCCATCATCCAGTGGCAGGGTTATCTTCTTAAAAAGGCCCAGCTCCATTATCTGATCCCAAGACCTTCCGGGTATCTTGGGGAGGGCGCATTTCTTTCCCAATAGAGCCGGGTTCTTATTGTAACGGCGCAGCCGGTGGTTCACAGCAGGAGAAGGGGAAGAGACCATATAAAACATGCTCTTCCAGCTGGTCCATTTAGATGGCTTCTCTAAAGTCATCATGTATTCCGGATGCGTGGTTAATGTGTACCACGCATTCCAGCCGCCTGGGGCGCGGCTAAGATAGTGCATGTGCGCAAACGCCTCCCAGCTAGGCGTCAAGTCCTGCATCTCGCAGGCGGCTATGTACCCCAATATGTTCACCCAAGAGTTGGGTGTGAGCTACCAGACGCCAAGGTCGTAACCTTTTAGAATGGCCTTGATTGTGTTGTGGAGTGGGAACCGGAGGCCGGTTTTGAATGCCGCCTCATAGAAGCCGAAGTAATTATCGGCGTGTTCCACGTCGCCATCCAAGACGACGGTTGCATTTATAGGTGGAACAACTATCTCCCATCCGGCCCCTACCGGACGCTTCTTCAAAAATGCCGGAGTGTTGCGTCCAAAGTAACAACGTCCCGGGCGCTCATGTGCGCCTCTGTTGGGTTATTTGCTAAAGGCCAGTTATATGCCTCCTCATCCTCTTGAGGGGCATCCGGCTCCATTATCGACTCTGTTGAGTCGGATTGTTGGACGGTTTCTTCACCGCCTGAGCTTCCGGACTCTTCAAGAATATCATCTCCGAGCGTGCTAGGTACGCCCGGTTGGTCAAAAGGAGCATCATCAACCAGAGTTCCGGTTGAATCATTAGACTTGTACTCGGGGTCAACAACCGTTTTCCTTATCCGAGCCATTCTGTCCTGCACATGAACAGAGACGGTCTAATTCGTAGAAGAATAAGGGTGGTCCAAACACCCCCAGACAGCATCCCCAGTCCTAGACTCAGCCGTATTCGGTGAACGGTTGACATCTGCCCTAGGCTGTGCCGTGTGTGTGTTGGGTGAGTCCATTATTCTCTAACAACATACACAGCCGGGAAAAACTCAAAAAGTTGCGAAGGGCAGAGACGGTACCTTGAATTAGTAAAAAAGCTTGCTAGCAGATGGATCTGTGAGTTGTTGCTTGCAGATACCTCAAGCGGTACCTCTTTGAAGAGCAACTGAAGTTTGTAGAAGACTTGACCGTTTTCCCAAAATGTGGCTTAAAGATGCCACAGGCGGAAGAGTCCCGTTGTGTATGTTTTGAAAGCTGAAATACAAAACAAACAGTCAGACGTTTTCAAAGAAAATCACACAAAGATACCACAGGCGGAAGTTATAAAGAAAGCAGATGGTCAAGCGTTTTTAAAGAAATTTGCTTGAAGATACCCCAGACGGTATAAGACCGGCTGAGGGCCTATAGAATGCAGTTTTTGAAGATTGCTCAAAGATACCCCAGACGGTATAAGACCGGCTGAGGGTCTATAGAATGCAATTTTTGAAGATTGCTCAAAGATGCCCCAGGCGGCATAGGACTGGTTGTGGGCCTATGGAACGCAACTTATGAAGAAAGTTGCTTGAAGATAACCCAAACAGTATAAGACCGGCTGTGGGTCTATTGAGAGCAGTTACAAAGAAAATTGCTCAAAAGTGCCCCAGACGGCATACGCCCGGCTGTGGGTCTATTAAATGTAATTTTTGAAGAAAATTGCTTAGAGATGCCCTAGGCGGTATAAGACCGGCTGTGAGTCTATTGGATGCAATTTATGAAAGAAATTGCTCAAAGATGCCCCAGACGGTATAAGGTCGGTTGTGGCTCTACTGAAATCAAGAAGAGAAAATTGACTAAGTTAGACGGTACCTTAGTAAGTCGATCAAAGAAGCACTCAACCGGTATCCGGACGTGTCTGAATCAAAGTAGCTGGGTGAACGCAAGAGCAGCCGGTGTCAGAGCTTTTTTCTCTCAAGGAAATTTTTTGTGAAAAATTTGCAAAGTATGGAATGAGAGGGGAAGTCTCCCATTTATAGGAGGAGGGCAAAAGGCGAATCGTCGCCTCCTCCTATTCAAATTCGAAATTTGAATTCAAAAAAAAAATGGAGGAAAGGAGATGAACCGTCACCTTCCCAGAATGTGACACGTGTCACAGGTGCCACATGGCAAGCCACGTCACACTTTGAGGGACAAATGTTTGGGGTAAAAAAACCCCCCTATGCCACGTGGCCCAATAGCAAGCTAACACGTGGCAGCCCTTGAAAGACCCAATGGGATCCAACCGGATGCTGACACGTGGCATTGTAACCCTAATAGGGGAGCAGATCTTCATCTGCTATAAATAGAGGAAACTCTTCATTTATTGCACATTCAAAAACACTCATAAATACAAAACACAAAAACCGAGCAATATTATGAACCATAAATACAAAACACTCAAATAAATGTACTAACTTGATCGTCGGAGGCGGAACTCCACCCAACCGGAGTTTCGTGGTTTTGCAAGTACAGACGGTCAGTGCGCATTCCCAAAATTGTAACTCTCCCGAGGGACTTTAAAAACCCCGAAACAGGTGTTACATGGTAGGAAGAGAGACATTATGAACCATGACTCGTGGAAGCCCTTAATAGAAAAATGAAATCATGTTATGCTACGCTTATTGTAAGATTCCTTCTGTCTCTTCTTAGTAGTATATAAAGAGACTTGGGTGTAAGAGCTAAGTCACAAACTCACAACAACAAGCCTTCAATCTTCAACTTCACTACCCACATCCGAAATTAACAAAATTCAATAACATTACAAGAAAAAATAATAATAATAATAATGGCTTCTCACCACACTCGTTCCTTGAGTTTCCTGGCTAAGGTTCACCCAATCGTCGAACAATTTGATTCTCAATTATCCAGATTGAGGTCTTCCCAAGCCACCTCTACATCATCTTTATTGAAGCAAACACTAACAAGCCTTAAAGATTTGTACACCAGTGTCGATGCAGTGCTTCAACTGCCAAAGAATCAACAAGCCATAGCTCAAGATGTGCACTCAAAGTGGACCGAGGAGGTCTTGGATCGATCTCTAAAACTCCTCGACATTTGTAGCACATCAAGAGATGTCCTGGTACAGTCAAAGGAAAGCCTCCATGACATACAATCAGTACTAAGAAGGTCGTGTAGCGGTGAGCTTAACATTACTAGTGAAGTCGCTCAATACTTGAACACACGTAAGAGTGCCAAGAAGTTGATCAAGAAGTCATTGAAAAACGTCAAGGATATTGAACAAACTAACAAAAACAATGCCATTGAGAGCATGTTGAAAGATGTCAACACGATAACACTTGATATCCTTAAGTCAGTGTTATCCTACCTCGGTGGTTCAAAGTTGGAATCGCAAAAAAGTAAATGGTCTCTAGTCAGCAAATTAATGCAGAAGAGCGATAACAAAGAAGAATCAACAACAAGCAACAATTTTGATGATGTTGATGCTACACTTGAGTCAACTATCCGCCAAAAGAACAAAAATGGTGTTGAGAACATGAGGAGCCAGATGACAAAACTCGAGTCTGAAATTCAATCTCTTGATGAAGCATTAGACTCTTTTTGTTAGGCATCTGGTTAAGAGTAGAGCAACTATTCTCCATATTCTTAGCAACTAAGAAAATATTCAATTTTGTACATAGCTTCGAATTGTAAATGAAGATAGCTATATACACATACAATTAATGAAAAGAGACATTGTTCCATATATATTATGAGTTATTATTGACCCGCTTTGACTTTTACACTATTCACCACCCCTCATTTGACCATCTTTTGTGAATAATATGTAAGGAAAAGTGTTTCGGGTTTTTTGATGTCCTTCGGGGGAGTTACAATTCCAAAACTGACCTCTGGACGCCTGTACCTGCAAAACAACGGAGACTCCGGTGGGTGGGAGCTCCGCCTCCGACGATCAAGTTAGAACGTGTATGAGAAGTAAAGTGCGGAAAGTAAAGGGTCTCTCTCGGATTCCAAGAGAGAATCTGCAATGTGTAATTGCTCAGTTCGAGGTGTCAGATGTCTGACTTTCTCTGATGGAGAGTTAATATGTATTGAATATTTTTGAATAGATGTTCCTCAGAGGAAATATCTCCCTTTTATAGGATATTGAAAAACGTGCCCAATACTAGGTTTCAGTAAACTTAGGGCTGATTGGGTTTTGCCTGGAACTTGGGGTCGTAGGAGGTCACTAGCTCAGTTGGCAATTCTGCTTGCCACGTGTCGTGACTTGATTGGTCCACCTTGTACCTCTCACGAGGTGACACGTGGCGGACTCTGATTGATCCACGTGGATGACATGTGGCAGGATATCATTGGTCCACGTGGCGGGGAAAAATTCCCTAATCAGAAAGCATATTCATGTAGGATATTTTTGAATTCGTCTCAATAATTAAGTACTATCATAATATATCACTTTTATAATTTTTACTTATGGAGAATTAAAGTTATTGATCGTTAAAGTTTTGAATTGACAAGCGTGATAAAAGAAAACATGTCAAATAAAAAAGAACAAAAGAAGTATGTATTTATCTAAGTTCTTTACCATCCTTGATCCATGCATTGATCGACTTAGCTTGCACAATGTCACAACACTTAAAAGTCATATTGTGACATGGATGAATATAAGTCTTAAATTAGTTCTCATGATTCATGGGAACTTTCTCCCAATTTTAATCTCAATTTCCTTTTGGCTTGACGTACTAATAAAAGATAAGGATGAAAAAGTTCACATATATAATCAACTTTCAAAATCCATTAAAAATAATTTCAACTTTTGATTATCTTGGGATAATTCCGAGGTCAAAGGCATCTATTCAAATTAAATTAGACCCAAAGTGAATCAATAAAATTAAGAAACAAAACACTCTTATTTTGAGATTATTTATTATTAATCAACAGTTAGGATTAATTTTGAAAGATGACTGAAAAATGATGATCGATTTTCATCCCTACACCCTTGTGGATCATTCGCACCCAAAAAAATAAATAATGATTTTTTAAAAAGTTTATTTACTTAGTATTTTTAATATACAGTACATTTTCTCCAAATGAATTTATTTTGGTGTAAATTTTTTAGAATCTAGATTGACGAGTTCATCTCAAGATATGTTATGATCTTTTAGTTGGAACTTGGAAGCTTAATTAGTTGTTAGCCTGTAATTTATTTTGTAAATTTAACATTATCTGCGCAATCGAACATTATGATGACCTCTTTCAACTCATTCCTACCTTTTTTTTAGGGAAAGATAAAATATCATTTATTGAAAGCCATACGGCATCTACAATAAGCATTATTGAAAAGTAAAATACAATCTAAATTAATCAAGTAAAAATCCTCTTTAAATAAACTATGATGATGAGAAACTAGATCTGACGATGAAGCACAGTCCCCGATTGCTTGATGAATTATGCAGCCTTCTGTGAGGGAGTCCATCTTCTTGACATAGTTTTGGGAAGAAAATTCATTAATTGACCATGTCACCCGCATCCTCAATTCCAACGCCAATTGCAAAATTGTACGAATAACAACCCATGAATCCAATCTTTTAGATAAAATCCTAAAAATAAATTTCAATCTTCCATAAGGGAAGAAAAAAAAGACAAACACCAAACTCTCACAAAAGGAGAGAACAAACCCAAAAATTGGGAAGAAAACTCTTATAAAGAGAGAGCAAGGAGAATAATTAATGACTAAAAAACAAAAAACAAAGAAAATAAAGAAAGAAATGGGGCTTACCATCATCAAAGAGATGATGATGGTAGCCCCTTGCGGCTGCCAAATATTTTAGGGTTTTTTTTTAGAGAGGGAGAGAGGAAGAGGCGAGAGAAAGTTTTACTGTACCTATAGGCTATATAATTGGATTCATGTTGGCAACTTGTTTGATTTAATTTTCATAATGATCAAAGTTCAATGTCATTCATGCAAATCAACATTAAATTAGCATAATATAATCATACTTCAACAACCAAGGTATCTTCTGTCAATATTCAACAACCCTAATTGGGAAACTATGATTATTGCTGGCCATGTTAAAACCAGGCCAAGTTGAACGCTATAGGTTGATTTGATTGATTTAATATTTCGAGTTCGAATTTTATTAAGCTTGAACTTGCCTTGAACTTAAAATCTTTGCATAAGTTTGGTCTGATAATAAATTTTCGAGTTTGAACCGAACTAAAAAATAAGATATTAATGAAGATGTTACTTGTCCCTCTTTAGCATTCGACTTAAGAAAGTTGAATAGAAAAATAACCATATCCTAATTCTTATTAATTTCAATGAGAGCTTATTTTGGAAGACGGAAAGTCATAATGATATTAATTTTTTCTTAATTTCAAATATATATTTATACTCTTCAGAGAAAAAAATTGTCGAAAATGTAAAATAGATAAATAAAAATGATTAAAAACAGACAAATGAAACATTGTTGTAAAAGATGTGGGAAGACAAAAAGATATTAGAAGTTGAAATGAAATAAAAGTTTGTAAATGATGATCAATTAATCATTGCTGTACTTTTTATGTTTATTTAATAAAAAATATAAGAGTGATTGTGAGAGCTTCATTTGGTGAGAGTGATTGTGAAAGCTTCTTTTGGTGAGAGTGGATGAGAGAATTTTTCTTATGGTATTTTTTTTAAAGTACTAAGTATAGATATAGATATAGATATAGATGTCAAAATATATTTAATCATAGCAGGTTAGCATTAATTGTTTGAAAGAGATCCCTCGTAGAAAAAGTATAAGATAAATATTAAATTAACAAGCTTATCAACTACTCCTTCCGTCCCCCTTAGATGCATATAGGCGCATAGGGCCTATGTATTTTGCATGCATATAGGAGGGCAATCGGGGATTCGGTGGTACATTTTCTCTCTTTTAATGGTACAGTGGTAAATTTTTGTGTACTATTATGTACTATTATGCATGTAGTGGTACTTTTTGTTATCATATATTCTACCACCGATTTTTCTCAGATTCCCATTATTTACAAAAATGTCATCCTATTTGCAAGTGAAATATATAGGGCCTATGCGCCAATACTTATTCGTCCCCCTTTGTTTGCAACACTTTCCATTTTTGGGGTCAAACTTTGCAAATTTTGACCCCAAATTTCCATTGAAACATAATACAAAATATAATTAAGTGGGATTTCGTTAGATTCGTCGTAACATGTTGTATAATTTTTTAAAACCACATTTAAAGATATAATCAGTCAAACATGATTTTAGAAGACCGTGCCCAAAAAGTTTGTTTTAGATTTAATGGAACGGAGGGAGTACCATTTTTAGAGGATAATACACTCGCTATATGTGTTACCCTTGTCATACTAATGGAAACAAATCACATTTTATTCCTCAATCTCAAATTTGTAAATTATTTATATCCTATTAGGATATTAGAAAACTATGAAAAGTAAAAGTTATTATTATTATTATTATTATTTCCTTTTCTTGGCCAAAACTTTTCCATTTAAGCAATAGAATAAGGGGTCATTTGGTATATCATCATCATAAATATTACGGAGTATGACATTGAAACTTGATAATTGGTAGTTATATTATTTAAGGATATTTAATCAGACAATTTGCCAACATGAATAAAATTATGAAAGTAGTTATATTGCCTGTAGGATATTTATGCGTTGGAAGGTCATCTTAACGTTCTACTCCGCAAATAATGGAATATTTGCAAAATCAAATACAGGTAACAACCTAATTAAGCTTTCAAGTTCCAATAGAAAGATCATAACATATCTTTAAGTGAGCTCAATCTGGACAAATTACACCCAAAGAAGCCAATTTTGGAGATAATGTATAATACTAGTAAAAGCTGTCCTTATAAGCTGGGAAAAACTGAATTGAACTGAACTGTAATAATGAACTGAACACAACTTAAAAAAAAAAAAAAAAAAAAAAAAAAAACTGAATTGAGATGATCTGAATGAAAAATAAACTCGAAAGAACATGGCTTACATAAAAGTTAATATCGTAAAAAAAAAAAATAATCTATCAATTAAAATCGTAAAAGAGTCGAGTAAAAAAAGATGGAGATCAACAATTAATTCCGAGAACTAATCTAAATTAAGACTTATGGTTTATATGTGGCTTTCAAGTGTTGAGTTATTGTGTTTGTGCAAGCCTAATATATGTGGCTTTCAACTCCAGAGGATCTTAACACCTAAAATTGTTGTCAATATGCCTAGTACATACGGTGCTGCAGTACTAGAGTCTAGAGTCATCTTTATTGACAGTGATCAAGTTTTCTTTGTGATTAGTCTTTTCTTTATCTAGGGATCTGTCTGAGAACACTGGTCTGTCTGGCCCGCTTCCATCAAATATTTGCAGTCTGAAGAACTTAGAACGGCTGTAATGAATTCTTGTGTTGTGAGTCTTGTGACACTGTAAATTTTAACTCACAAACAGTTGTGTGTCTGTGTGCGTACGTGCACGCGCTTCCATCAAATATTTGCAGTCTGAAGAACTTAGAACGGCTGTAATGAATTCTTGTGTTGTGAGTCTTGTGACACTGTAAATTTTAACTCACAAACAGTTGTGTGTCTGTGTGC